GAAAGCTGAAATTTTGGGAGAATGTTCCCTATCCAAGTACAACTCAAATATTTCAAATTCAGCCCTAAGCTATGCATGGTACTCACGTAAGGGGGTATGAAAATTTCTGCAGGAAAATTGCTAACTCGGTAATCAGAAGAGCCGGAAAACTGAAATTTTGGGCAATGTTCCCTGTTCAAGTACAACTTAGGTATTTCAGATTCAGCTTGAGGTATACGTGGTTCCTACATACGGGAATTTAAAAGTTTTGGTGGAAAAATTTCTCAGTAAACAACTGGGTTATTTTTAAAGAATGACTGGTTAAATGAAAACTGCACACTTACTATGCAAAATTTCTGATTTATGCTAGTGACGGCAAAAGGTAGGTGTAAAGCAAAACCCATTCATGCAATTAATGACCTGAGTACTTCAAGTCAGTGCAAAAACGCATGATCGCACGGTCCCCGCACGGGGCGTTCCAGCTTGGTTTCTTATTACGATTCATCATGTACTATGCTGCGTCCGTGGGTCTTTCAAACTGCCTCACTGCCTTCTTGTATTATTCAAAGCAAAGGCCATGAAGCGTAGAAAATACATCAAAAGTTAACCCTATCTCACGTGGCAAATGGGTTTTTAGCTTGGTCTTTCTGTATACAGCGCAACCAGAACCTTAGAAATTCTGCGCTAAGCAGAAATTGAATTTCGGCTCATTGTTTTGTGAGAAAGACGCATTCATAGAAGCGGATTTTTTTCTAACTGTTTAGAATTCACTTCTTACAGTAGAGTCTATGTCTGTCTCCTAATCGGCAAGGTACTTCACTCCGGTTTCGAATGGAAATTATTGAGTAGGAGTGTTGATGTGTAATCCGCACCAAAATTGATAAATGGCCATAGCACCGAGGGCCTGTGCGAAAATGCATTTTTTGCATAATTCCCCGCAGATTTTTGTCGCAAACGGTACTGTTTTTTTTCGGCAGACATTTCTAACTGAAGGAAATGAGACTGGATGCCACGGCTGTCAGGAAGCATCCCTTTAAAATTTCAGACTTCTAACTTTCTTGGTTTCCGAGTTAGTAACTTACCCGCAAAAAACTTTCACTGGCTCGTACACAGGAACCACGAATACTCGCGGGCTAGGTTTGAACTCATTTGGACCTATGTGAACGGGCAACTTTCCTTTAAAATTCCAATCTTCCAGCTTTTCAGTTTCCTGAGTTAGCAACTTACCCGAAAAAAATTTTCATGGGCTCGTACTTGGGAACTACGCTTACCCGAGAGCTGGGTTTGAGCACATCAAACCTAGTTGCGCGAGGAACGTTCCCTTAAAATTCCAGTCTTTTAGCTTACTCGGTTCCCGAGTTAGCAGCTTTCCTGCCAAAAGATTTAGCAGGACTGTACCTGGGTAAGAGTGCCCATTTTGGGAATTGGATCCCGTACATGCATGTAGATTAAGTTCCAAAAGTTTCAGCCCTGTAACTTTTATAGGTCTTGACATGAAAAATCAGTCCAGACGCACACACAGACGCACAGACACACAGACAAACAGACACAGATAACCCCTCGTCAGCATGCTTTTTATTCATTGCCTTAGGTGCAAAAAACGAATAAAATGAAGAAACAACTGCCAGCCAAAATAGAGAGTGGAGAAACTATCAGATGCATCGGTGGTAAGAAGCATGATCATTATCTTGATCCCAGCATTGCTATGCTGAACAAAGTGTAGATTCAAATCTTAATCTTCCTATCCAATTTTGGGGGCCAAATCGCAAATAGAAATAGTTAGAAAAAATGGAAGAAAAATAAGATCAAGAAAAAAATAGCAAAACTGTCCGCACGGTAGTTTGGGATCTCCTGTTAATTATATTATATTACTAGGATGCTTTCACAAGTGTACACAGCTACGCCAATCGTTTGTTCTTGTGCTGCCCAGCTCTAGCTCGTTGCCACTGCCTGTTCCACGTAGGCGGCCAAACTCTTCGAAGGCTATTCAAGTGCCTGTTTTTTTTTTTCTCGCAAATATCACTTACTGGTGCGGAACCTCCACTTGTTGTCAACCAAGCGAGTAGCAAGCCTCACTTTTAGAATTTTACTTTCTCGGGTGGTCGCAATGAGACCCTGAACACCGCTCATCTGACTGAAAGTGTGATTACTCATTTGGTCACAGAGAGACAAGCCAAGCAATTTTCCCTCAGTGCTCATTCTATTTTCTTCAATGAACATATTTTGCACCCGTACATCATTTTTACACCATTTTCGCTTTCAACCTGTTGTCTTGATACTTCGACGTCAACAAAATTCTGAATATGGAGTAGTTCTATATTCAAAATTAGTTTACCATTTTCAAACTATAGAGCTCATGAAGGATTATGCTAATACTTGTTTGGGATTTTCAACTTTCGTTTTCGCAATCCTATTTTTGCTCTTTTTTAGACAAATTCACGGTATTGTAATCCCAGATTATTAGAACTGTGATTTTCAGCAATACGTACAGCAGTAAACTTTACTAGGCAAATTTTATGAGTTCGGAAATTCTCCTTTTGTCTGTTAGTCCATTGTGGCACTTATTTACTTTGAACTGCTCAAGATCACAGTCTAACCCACTTTTCCAATTCCGCTGATATGCCTGGCGGTTAATTTAACGAAAAAAGCTTATTTCTTAATGCCTTCCTGATCAGTTGTTGCTTTGAATTTTTTCATGCGGCTGATGCAGCCTGCAACACTATCAGTTCCGTGAAGTTGAATAATTCGGTATTTTGCGTTCCAATGATTCTAGATTACTTCACTTTTTTTCTGCTTTTCTGGTACAGAATTAATACGCGTTACATTTCCTACCGCATTTGCTATGCTCCCTTGTCCGCGTAATTACCGTCTCATATAGTCCTTTGCTGTGACCATGAGACACTGGAAATGCAAAAGGAAATAATTTTATGGGAATTCCTTAACTCTCTTCTAAGCCTAATCGAACCAGTTCAAAGCCAGTACCACTGAAATGACAGAACCCACATACTGGCATATTGTTCCTCAGAAAGGACGCGCAAGGCGAAGACTATTTAATTTGCTGATAAAGAAATCACTCCCTATCTAGTTAGATCGAGGAAAAATGCTGCTAAAAATGCACCTAAAGCTGACATATGATAATGCTCGGTAGTTTTAAATTATATATCTAATTATCCGATTTATAAGAAATTTCAGCATCTATTTGAAAAATGGGAAAAAGTCTTGCAATTTTTGTGTTTTTCTTGTCAAACTTGTGCGTAACGGCAGCGCTAAAGGTAATTTATTCATATTTTTAAGTGCGCAAAAGTCTTGTGAAATTGATTTTTATGTGTCATATCGGACGAGCAACGGAAATCGAATCTAGTAGCACAAGAGAGCTTAAGATCTTTTTGCTTGAGCAAAAACATCGCAGCTGCGAAGATATCGCGCATTACCGTATACCAGTGCTAGGTCGAATTTTAGTAGTCTGTTATTGTCTCTACTCACTGCACGAGCAAAGGCTATGTTCCTCGAATTCGGCTTCTTAACACGCTTGCCATTGAACTAGCACGAGAATGCATAAGACAGCGCTTACAGTGCAGGTTTCAGGTTGTTGCCGATGGCGAGCTTATGAAATGGTGATATAATTATTAGGAAAAGCGGGTAAAGGTTTTAGAAAACTTGAAACAACTTCTGTCTAGACGGTCAGCTTTGCGGCTGCATAATTTTGTTTTGTCAAGCGCTGTTTCGTGTCTAGTTAGCCTAAAGTTCGATTCGTCTCCTGAAGGAAATATTAGCCTAGAGATTTTCACAGATGGTCTGCATAGGCGAAGTGGGAATGCGAAAGAAAAAGAGTTAATAATAACCACTTTACAAACGTTTATACGTAATTACTGCGATTTTTACAGGAACCATACCATTCCGATTCGTCAACAAATTCTCCACTGAATGTTACTCTCTCAACGGAGCAAGCGGCAACTGATGAAGCTCTCCTCCAGCAGGAGGTTTTCGCAAACGCCTCTGACTCACATTCTGAAGACGAGCCAACTCATGAGCGGCCTACTCGAATTAGAGCGCACGTTACCGTCCATTTCTCGGACAATTCGTCCTTAGTGGTTCTAGGGCTGTGCAGAGAAATGGCTGATCCACGTTACGAACTGATGTGCGAAGCCATCGGTGTTCGTTCAACAGATCCTGAATTTCAGCCGCCGCAAGAGTTTTATGAGATGATACAACCTGTGAATACTAGCTATAACTTTTATGTTACCGGATTTTTACAGAGTCTTTTTCGAGATCGTATAACTGGACAATTTTTAGCTATCCATGATGTCGACGTGTTTAGTGGAGGTGACAACATTTTGCCGAACTTCTTTGTAATGGATTTTTACGATGTCATTGATGGAGAAATCGATGGCAGTGGTGATGATAATAGCGATCATGAAGATGGTGCGAATGGTGTTGGCAATAATGAAAACAATAGTGATGATGAAAATAATAAGAATCACGAAGATGGTGTGAATGATTTTGGCAATGGTGAATACAGTAGCGATGATGAAAATAACAGGAATCACGAAGATGGTGTGAGTGGTGTTGGCAATGGTGAAAACAAGAGTGATGAAGAAAATAATAGTGGTCATGAACATGATGTGGATGGTGGCGGTAATGGTGAAAATAATAGTGATGATGAAAGTGGTGGAAATGCCGACGATGATGAAGATAGTAGTGAAGATAATGAGCACTATGGTGTTAGCAGTGGTGAAAGCAATAGTGATGATGAAAGTAATAGGGACCATGAAGATGGTGCGGATGGTGTTGGCAATGGTGAAAACAACATTGATGATGGAAATAATAGTGATCATGAAAATGACGTGAATGGTGGCGGTAATGATGAAAATAATAGTGATGATGAAGGTGGTGGAAATGCCGACGGTGAAGATGATAATAATGACGGTCATGAAAATAATGACAATAATGCTGTTTATAACACTGCCAATGGATTCGAGAGAGAGGTGTAGGAATCGTGTTCATTGTTAGAGCAATTTTCTTATGTTTGTAGGCTTGCCGTAGTTGAAAATTTCTGCTTATTTATCTGTATTGCTTTTGAATAAAGTTCTTTGTAGACCAATACCAAAGCCACTCTTCATATCCATCCTTCATGAGTGGCGGAGGCTAGCAAACTTGTTGATGGCTTCCTCTTTTAAGGACCGGTAAAAAGCAAGCTGACAGGCTTTCTGTGGCATACAGTGAAAAAGCCAAAGAGTGGGTGCTTATCTATGCAAATGAGCGTGCATCAGCCAGGCTTACGATAGAGTCTACTTGAATTCTTAAGTGCATTAAATACTGCGACGGAGCGATTCATCGACTTGGGGTCTGTTGAGAAACAGTAAATACATTAACAAGGCAGTCTTATCCTGATCCAGTCATCACTGCGCCGAACGAGATCTGCATTTTTACACACTGATGGAGTTCTAGAATTTAGAAAAAAGCGTTAAAAAATAATTTTTAAATACAGAGCCGGCAGGCGATGTGAAGGAAAATGTGTTTGGATTTTGCTGGGATACTGCCACTACGTCTGCATCTACATTAGTCTTTGCCCTACCTAGACGAAAAAGTCCGATATTTCGACTTTCCTTACTCAAGCTCGAACCACTCCCCCCATGCCCAGGTTATTAAACACGTGGCAAGCTAACGCGAAAACAATCCGTCGTCTATTATAGTTAAACTGCCCTCTCAATCTCTACCGCTCGTATTTCACTTACTCTCCCAATCTCTGCCTCTCCTCCTAATCTGCGCTCCAGAGTGCTTTCTCAATCTCTGTCACAGATCACGTTATATTTCCGTCCCATTCTCAGTTTTTAGGATTCCGTCTTTTTTATGCGTTTTTTGCAGTTATGCAATGCAAAAAACGCATATTGACGAGAGGTTGTCTGT